GGCTTCCAAGCCGAGGCATGGTTTTGTGAAGAGACTGTTGGGCAACGTCTTGGAAGAAAGGGATGATGGAAGAGGGAGAGACACGAGTGAAGGGAGTTGCTGGGCGCATTGTACAGTAACGTCATTGTGAAACTTGGCATTCTTGGGGTTGTCCTTGGCTGGTGGCGTTCATATACCTAGGCGTTAGGCTTCCTGGATCCATTACGGGGCATCATTGCATAGCATAGAGCTGAATACTACGAGTACGTACATTTGCATCGACTCAGCGTGCTCGTGTTCGCTAAATGAAGGTCAACTGTCACCTCGAAATCCTGATTGATGGCATCTTGCAGCCCATCGTGTATCATACATAACCCCCTTCCAGCCATTTCTCTACTTGAGTCTCTTCTCCACAACGCCCCAGTTGATCACATCCCAGATGGCACTGAAATACTCGGCCTTTCGGTTCTGATATTGCAAGTAGTATGCATGCTCCCAGGCATCAATACCCAACAGCGGCGTGTACTTGCCCACAACCGGATCTTGGTTGGCATATGTGCGGATCTCTACATTTCCAGTCTCGTTATTCCTGACAAGCCATGCCCATCCACTGCCTTGGATACCTGCAAGAGCAGCGTTGAACTTGGTCTTGAAATTCGAGAAGTCGCCGTAGGAGGAGTTGATGGCGGTCTGGAGATGCATTAGCAGCCATTCACGAGAACCAAAATGCCCAAAGACCCTATTGCCATTCCATGGCGAACGGTATCCTCCTCCAAGGCAGTGGACTCCTGCAACATACCTTGACATTTCCACTGGGCTCTCCCCCTCCATCCTTCTTAGAAGGCGCAAGATTTTCCCAGAAAAGCGTATGGTTGACGTGACCACCTCCATGGAAGTTGATCACAGGCTGCAGGGCAATCTGAGCCTGGATGTCGCCCTTTTGCTCCGCAGTGGCAATTTGTTCGCTGGCAGCGTTAAAGCTGTTGACATATGTTTGATGGTGATTCTTGTGGTGGAGTTCCATGATCTTGCCTGAGATCGCGGGCTCGAGAGCACCATAGTCATCTGCAATTGAATTAGCGCGGCGTTGTGAGCTGGGAGAATGGGATTGTATACATGGCAAGTCTGGGAGGGTAGCCTTTCCACGAACGAAGGTCGTGCTAGCTACGGAAGCAGCTCTCTTTCCTGCGGTAGCTCTGAGAGCAGAGCGAGCTGCGGTACTTGTTCGATAAAGTGCAGTAGACATGGTTGCTGATATCAATTGGCTCTTCTATCAATTTGGGGATTGTGAAGAAATAATTGTAGAGTGTCAGGATGCGAGCTCGGAATTGAGGAGCTCGTTGCAGCTTCCAACCGTCAAAACGTCACAGCCGGCCAGAAGTGGGGCCGACAGGGATCATCCAAACGCCGATGCCGCGATTAGAAAGTAGCGCCGGCCATTCGGCCTCGCTTTCTGGACATTGGACTCAAAACAACAACCTGAATTGTCCGAAGTCCATTGATTTGTCTTGCGCCAGGTCTGAATAGCCTCATCCCGACTTTCCGACTGTCCACTGTGTCCAGACATCATGGCATACTACGATGTCGACGCCATACTGACAGACGCCCAGGTAATTCCCCCTCCATTGCGATTCTTTCCCCCTTGACCCTCCTTCCCCTTGACTCGCCTTTAGGACTGACAGAACTCCAGAAAGTGCCCTGCACCTTCGAACTCGACGTCCCTCGCCTCGGATACCTAGACAACAACCCAGGCCACACGCTCCACGCCTCCACACGCGTCGATCTCCCCATCTGGCTCGCCGAAATGCTCGCCGTCTCCAACATAACCTCCTCCAACAAACCGCTCATAACCCTCGACCTCCCTCCTGCGCTCACTCCCCGCGTCATGAATGCGTTGAAAGCAGACGCGAAGAGTGTGGATATCCGTGCGCTGGCGCAGAACTTCTACGGGCTCGGCGTTAGGATATTGGAGTTATTCGAGGAGGAAGAGGTGTGTGATGTGCTGATGGGGAGCTGGAGGACGAGAGCGGCGGAGATCAGTGACCATGCGGGGAATGCTGGACAAGGACAAAGGGGGGGTGGAGGGGGGGCGGGAGGTGATGGAGTGGAGTTTTTGAGGGGGTTGGATGAGGGGGAGAGGGGGTTGTTTAGGGCGCAGCATGATAGTAGTAAGGCGATGAGGGTTTGGATGGGGGAGATGAAGAAGGCATGAGGGTTGATGGACGAATTATGATGATGGATTGGGACTTGGTTGGGAAGCGGAGCGGCATAGCGAACGATACCCGGAGTATTGGGCTTGGATAGGATTCATGGCCTCATGTCTGATTCATCCATGAAAAGACCAGCGGTTTATCGCATGGCTTTGGTGGAGGGGAACCACCAGTCAACGTTCCGCCTCCAAAATCCTCCCCCGTTCTGTGTCTCTTCAAAGGGGCCTTCTCTCGATCATCGACACCGAGCCACAGCATATCTGACCTGCTGCCGTGTCCGCAGACGTCAAGAAAGCCTTTCGCCCTCAAAATCTCGTCAAAGTCCAAGTCGGCATAGAGGATCCCCTCCATCGTCTCGGGTATATCCTCACTCAACTGCCTCCCATCAGGTCCGAATATCGCAGAGCTCCCTCCTCCTGGCACGCCAAACAGGGAGGTTTCAGAGGTTTGCAGTCGATCGATGCCAGGTTGCGTTATTACAGACGTAGTATGTAGAACGAACGATTGAGACTCGATAGCATGCGTCTGCGAGAGATTGCGGCATCCTATCCCCCATTAGCACCAACCCGTCACGTCCATCAGAATATATATAGCACATACCGTCTCGACTCATACTCCACAGCCCCCTCCCCCCTCTATGTTCATAAACCGGCGGCCAGGCACTCACATGCACATCCTCATTCTGCATACACGTATGATACTTCAACAACGGCTGCGCATGTTCCCAGCACGCCAGCTGTCCAACCTTGCCCACACCGTTGACATCGACCACATTATGCAGCGAATTTCCCGTGCCCTCGCCGAATATCGTGCGCTCCATATGCGTTGGTTTTAGCTTCCTTCGTGTCATTGCGAGCTTCCCGTTTGCGGATATCAGGGCTTGCGCTATGTACAAGCTATTGTTGTAGTTCTCCGAGAAACCCAAGGCTACGGCGATATTATTGCAGCGCGCAGAGTCGCAGAGCGTGCGCATGTGTGGGGAGTCAACTGCCATGCTGCTCTTCGTGTACAAAGTCGTCAGATCGAAGTCGACAGGACGAGACCTACATACGTTAGCTATCTCGCCATTGGAAGAGAGGGAGAGAGGGGCGAGATACCATATCCAAGCAGGGTAGCCAGGGATCCAACATTCGGGGAAGGTGATCAGTTGCGCGCCGTGGGCGGCGGCTTCGATGATTAGTTTGATGGTCTTGAGGACGGTCTCGTCGAGGTCGAGCCAGATGGGTTCGGCTTGGGTGACTGCGACGCGGATTTCCGGGGAGGGGGTTGGAGGCGACATTCTTGCAGTCGCAATGCAATTCGAAGAAGAAAGCAAAACGATCAATTGCTTCACCAATATGGCAAAACCAAGCAGTGTCCACGCACGACCACGCACGACCACTCAACCACCCGCAAGCTCCAGGAGAGCAGACCAAGGACCTCAACCGCTCTTGACCTCACCACCGCGTCTCCCAATCTCCTCAATCGGCGCATCTCTGGCCTTGGACGCCAACTCCCTTTGTAAAATCCACGACCTACCAAGCTCCCTCTCCTGCTCCTCATGGCTGACTGTGACTGACATCAGCATCGCGAGGTCGAGTCGCGGTGGAGGAGGCTTACAGAGAGCTGACGGAGGGCGGGGGCTCGGACTTGATAGGATGCCGATGCGAACCGGTGATTCTGTGTGGTGTAATGTTTGGTTGGGGGAGGGAGGTGTGGGGATTGGGAGTATGTGGGAAAGATGAACATGGCCGACAGAGAGCAACATTCGTTGGTCGGATTGTCTCCTGGGACTGTCGATGTTTCTACCTTTTGGTGATGTCGGCGGGGAGGAGCCGCCAACGTAGCCGAGAGAATAGGGGGATAGATAACCTTAACGAGCAGGTTATCTCAGCACGGCCACTGAAGCGAGAACCTGTCCGTACCGCCAAGGATAGACAATTCGAGACGACTTTTAGAATCAACTCATTTCTCCTTCGAGGGCTCAGGGAACTCAGCGCTTGGTTGCGTCTATCTCCAAACGATTCCGATCCTCCCCCTTTCGAATTCCACGCTTCCTCGCTTGACCCCCACATCGACAAAATAATGCCTGAGGCGCCCTCCCTGTACACAAACAAGATATCTCTCAACAGCCCGCATGCCCCTACAATTCCGCTTTCAATCCGATTCATGTCTTGCTAGTCAGTCCCATGGCCTCGCGATATCCTCGTACCCTTAAGACACGGCTCCGGCTCCTACGTCTCGTCTTTTCTCGAAGGGGATTGTGATCTCGCCGGCGTCCTCGTCAAGGCCAACCACAAACAACTTGTAATAACTCGTTCGGTTAGTCCCACCCAATAAGCGAGTACATCTTTCAACCAGCTTAGTCCCCGCGCCTCCGGGACCCTCCGGTTTCGTTCTCCCCACAAGGGACCGCGTTCTCCGTGCGGCCAATGACTTGAAAATCCTTGCGGCCTCGAGAGTCGAGACGCGGCTTCAGCTCCCGCACTCTCCCGAGCCCTCGCGGGAGGACGTTCGTGGGTACCCGTAGGATGGCAGTATCGTCAATTTAGAGGCGGGAGCAAAATGATTCAAGTGGCGGGCGACCACTGGGGCAGATCGAGAAATCGAGAGTCTTGTCACCTTGAGGGGAGGAAGGGATATTGAATTTATGATGAAAGTAATTATGAAGACCGCAGAGGTTTACTGGATTTTATAGAATAAATACAGCTGCCGCGCATCGAAGTCGAAACTCCGTCTGGGAGCAAGAGGTACTCTGGAAGCACGGAGGCCTTCCTGTTATATGCTGCATCAGAGAACCCACTCTCAAGATTCCTTAGTCTAAGGAGTCAGGCTTCCTTGGTCCAATGGTTAGGATTCCACCCTTCCAAAGCTTCGGCTGCGATGCAAGGTGGAGGTTCGTGTTCGATTCACGGAGGTTGCATTTGTGCCCTTATTTTTTGATCTTTTATGCCCCTTTTATAACATCGTCTCTCTCCCAAGAAGTGGTGTCGGAAAAGAATGGTAAGGTTAAGCGAGCCTCCTCAAATATGACTCAGCAGGCTTTTCCCAGCACCAGTGGTGGTCATTATTAGTGGCGCACAGACCAAAACACCAAAAAATCATAATATAAACAATAACTCAACAACTCAATAATGGCTCCTTCCACACGCTCTACTGCACGCCCCAGCACTCCAATT